ATATTAAAATTCATTTGATATGGATTTAATCTATTTAGATGTAAATTAAGCTTGATTAATATTTAGTTTAAATTAAGTTGAATCATAAACTAGACTTATGTTTAAATTTAGCATAGTTTAAGTTATGATCGGTTAATTTAAATGTATGTGATGATATTTCTTAACCTTAATTAAATCTAACTTATGTTATAAATTTAAATTTGTAAATTAATTTTTTTTATTTTGAAATTGAGTGAGGTGCAAAATAAATACATTTTCACATAATGCTTTAATTTTGATTAATTTTATCTATGATTTTAATTTAAACCATGACATGACCCACGACGACTGCCCATAAGAAGAAAAAACCACACCCAAGCTAAGCCTGAGTTCCCTGAAATCTAAGGTGAGTTGGCCACAAAACTCCCAACTATATAGAGTGAACTAGGGACTAGTGGAGTTCACTTGGCGAGGCTATATAATAGGAACTGAGCTACCCAAATCAGCACCAATCAAACTTGCCCATAACTAATTACCTTGAGACACTAGGATGGGGGCCTAGTTCTAGAGTGGAGTGGTTAAGGCAATATGAAGGAGAAGTTGATGAAATTAATAGAGGTCAATAGTATTCGTTATAACCACTTATGATATATGATTGAACGACCTACTATTTGAAGAGTCGCAATGGTTAGTTGAACTCCTTCTATCTCAATCTCTTAAGGATAGCAAAATGTTTGAAATGATTATGGAATTCCAGGTCTCATAATGCCTTCCTAAAGAATATATCTTCTATAGTGAATGGTTTGATAAAACTTTATGAATATTTTAGTTTTCTAAATGCTTCTTTTTGATAGTAGCAATACATTTTTAAATTAATGCCATAGTTATAAAATCTTATAAATATTATTTTAGTAAATAAAACTTTCATGATTTTTTTGTAACAGACATGTATTCAATAACTTTTATAAATGTGATATTAGTTATAAGCTCCTTGAAAACTTCTAAAACTTAAGAAATTATCAACGTAAGTTTTATTTCTGAAGCCTTTGAGGAAAGCATGTTGATAATCTCTCAACCTTCTTTTTAATTTTTCTCTTTCACACCACAATTTTAGATTTTTTAGAATTTTTTTCCTCAATAATCTCAAATTTATTTTCTTCCACCCTAATCTCATCTCTGAATACCTCCTCTAATTCCTTAATACTTCTAAACTACATAGCCTTATATTATTCTTTTCTTTCTTCTTTTGGTTTCACTTCGGCATTGTTAGGTAATGTCTCTTGCGATTTATTTGTTGAATAATTGGCCAGTTATCTTAGTTAAACTTTATGTTTCTAATAGTTATTTCTTAACTTTATAATCAAGTTCCCATCTATAATGTTATTTCTTTCATTTAAGATTTCTTCTCATTTGATTAATTATTTGATGTTAACGCAGGTGGATTTTTATGTCTAGAATTTGAAGGGTTATGCACATGATTATTCCAATTTCTTGGTTAATTATTATTTTAATAATTATTTTTTAATGTTTTGATTGTTATTCTTGTTGCAGTTAGGATGATTTCTGCAGCATTGGTTATATGTAATAAAAAATGAATAATTTTATTTATTATTTAGAAATTCAAAGTCTACACATTTGAAAAATAGGAATCACTTAAATAAGAAACTCAAAATTCAACATTGATCATAAGTTATCCTTGATCATGATTCATTCGTAAGCCATATTTTCAAGATATGATAGCATTTATGAAATCAAAATAGATAAATCATATGTTTGATTTACTCTAGGTTCATTTTTAATATTAATCCTCTTTAAAGGCCACTCAAAATTATTGGTATCTATTTCCTTAATCAATAAATAGGCTTCTTTACGTGGCTTAAACATTGAAGACTCCCAATTGTAGCTTCTATAAATATCCTAAATTAATCCATTAATCTATTAAAAAGTATTTTAGTCATTAGTAGTTATGTAAGGCATGATGTAATATTTTTTTAATAAATTATTGATTCTTTTCCAAGCTTCATAAATTAAGTCACTCTAGTTAGGTAAATGAGGTGGTGTCATTCATAAGTTTTATTTTTATTAAGATAAATATTTGGCTAATAACTTCTTCACTAGGTCATTCCATATTATGATAGTACCTAGGGGTAAAATATTCAACCAAACTTTAGCTTTCTCTCTTGAATAAAGTAATAACAACAAAAATCTAATGGCACTATTATAGCTCCATTATACCTAAAAGTTACAAAAATTTCTAAGAAAATGTTATTTGTAAATTTGAATCTTCTTTGGAAAAAATCTTAATGAAAAATTATAGGTTTCAATGCAAAGTTATTGGCTAGAATGTTTAACTTTTTAATGATTTGGTATACTCCATCCATTAATGGTATAACATAATCCTTTAAAAGTCTATGTTGATCTACTGCATTAAGTTGGTACTCATGGTTTAATAGTATTTTTATTTTTTTTCTATTTTCTACTTTTCTTAAGTATTTTTACTTAGTGGGTTAAACAACCCGAAGTCTTTATAATCTACTATGTGCATATAAAACTATAAAACCAAACTACAAAAACAAATTAACTATTATAGCAATAATAAAAAAAATATACAATTAATTATAACTACAACAAATTAACAATTGAGTGATGCAATGCAATTAACTAAAACATTACATGATCACAGAAAAATAAATATTTTAACTAAAAAAGGATAATTAAACTAATATTAAATTATATAATATTTTTGTTCACCCACAATGACATAAAAATTTTGACTGACAAAAATAACATACACAAATACACCATTTAAATAATACAGAAGTGAATAAAGCATCATTCACATGGAAATCAAAATTAAATTTCTTTGTAAGTTAATTATTAATTTTATATCATCCTAATTTTTCTTTAATTAATTCATAAACTGAAATATGAAAAATAATAGAACTAGAATCTATGCAATATAATAATTTTAACTTTAAAATAGAGAGAAACAACTATAACTCTATTATTTGCCTAAACTAAATATATGAACGGTTATGTTGAAAAATTCTTTCAAAATATGTTATACATAATTATCTCCTAGCCTCCAAGGATAGTTAAGAAACCTAAACAGTTTAACCAACTAGGTATATACTTATAATGATTAGTTTAAGTGATCTTAGAAAATATTTTTCTTATTAGATTGTAAATCTTCATGCAATATATGTATTTATACTTGTAGATCTATTTGATTCACTCTAGTTTTTCCGCTGTCTTTTTGGATGCCTAAAAATCATACTAAATTTTAAGATACATATGACCAATACATAACTAATTTAAGAACAAGTTGAAACAAAAATAAACTACATAATCACATTTATAAATTCATCAAAACAATTAAATAGAAAATTTAAGTTTACCATAAATTCAAAGTAAAACTATTAGTTCATTTTTATTAAAAAAAAAAAGAGATATAATACTTAGACATTAGAAAACAACACTAGAAAAAATAAAATACTACACAATACTAAACCTACCCCACTTTTACTCTATACTCCTTTATTTGACCCTACAATCTTAACTTTCTTAAAACTATTCCCTCATATTAACTCTGCTCTAAAACTATCTTAAGATTGTAATGTTGGGGCTATCGCTCTACAATATTGAGAAGGCAGTGTTGCAGTAGTACTTTTAGTGAGACAATGCTCAAATATATTATTGACGTGTTAAGCTCTCCGACTTTTTATATGAATATGTTATTTCTTGTGTAATGCAATGTGGCACATTGCTGTTACTTTACAAATCATTTTGTCTCAATATTTTGGCATTATGACGCCATATATATTAGCATTACAATGTTGTGCTATCAAATTCTTGAAAATTTTCTTCAACATCTCTAGTATCATGGTGCCATATGATTAATGTTAGACGCTAACTTTTTAGGCGCTCATAAATCAACATAAATAAGCCATACTTTTTATTTTATTGACTATTTTCTGCTTAATATAGTGCTCCGACATTATAGATGCAATGTCGAATAGGTTCCTTGATAATTCATAAATTTATATTTAAGTCTTACCTTGTAGAAATTACTGTTAAAACCAATATAACTAATGATAATAAGGACTAAAATAATTTAATTTTAAAAAATATTATTGTTATTTAATTCATTCATCTCATTCAATAAATATGGATTTAAATTTGTTGTAATATAGTTTGAATTTTACTTAAATCAATACTTAACATGATAAACTTGAAAGAAGTAGCCTTCGTTTGAAGGGGTGATATTTTGATCGTGAAAAAATTTTAAATATATTTTTCTAACAATAAAATTTTAAAGATCAATTTAAAATTGAGATTGACAAATATATTTAAAATTGATCTTTAAAATCATGACATTTTCTCAATAAAATAAATAATAT